AAATCTGCTTATACAAAGGGGGGGGGGGGCTTTCTCAGTAGCCAATGTGTTAGCTTCAAGAGACTGCCTTTCCAATAATCAGTCAGTCTCTTGTGCTCATGCTCTCTTTCTCTTGCTTTATTACCTTGGAATGTCCTTCAGTGGACTTTCATTAATTCTGAATATCAGAATGTGTTCTGTTTTAGTGCATGACTACATTTACATAGTAAAGTAGTTGAAAATCCTCTTCAAACATACATAGTTTTAATCTTTTATGTTTTTGTTATCAGACACACTTCATTAACAAATGTACTCCTGTGCAAAGACACAGGAACTATTCTTATAGGTAGATTCTTTGATTAGTTGCACTGCAATTCTGACCTTGATAGCAGATGCATTCTGTAGGAATTTATAAAGGAGCACACTCCTGTTTAGTAAAACAATGACATCTCCAGTGGCACTGCACTAAGGTTAAACTGGGGCAGAGTTTGGCTTGATACCTTGAAACCACTATTGAGTCATAGTAAATGAAAGAACAAAAGAGAAGCACACCCAGAAAGTCTTAGAAGTAAATCTAGTCCTTGTTTACTATAGGAAGCATCTGAAATACTCAGTACCTGTATGTTAACATTTTGCCAGAACACTTGTGTTGAATCAGGTGTTGATCCACAGCGGTCTGCATGTGGCAGGGCAGGCCTTGAATTGATTGGCAGAAGCTGACTATGATATAGGAGTATCCTCCAGCCCTTTAATTCTCCAAGTGGCACCAGTTACCATGTTGATGTTGTGTACATGGGAGACTAAGTGCCTGGTGTTGGTTAAGTGTTGGTTAAATGTTGGAAAAACAGCCAAGCTTGATCTGTGTAGGGTTGTGTGAATGCAGCACTCCCAAGTAGTTGTTCCCTCCCAAGAGGAGGAAATTGTCTAGTGGGTTAATGCTATCTGCACCCTCAACCCCCCTTCCCCTTTATATAAGCATATTTCAGGTCTTTAATAGAGCTAAAAAATAATGAAGAACTAGAAATCATGATTTCCTATAGGAGTAGCAAATAAGGGCTTACAGGATGTCATTTTACTATTGCTGCTATCCCCCTGCTCCTACTTGTTCAGTATAATTGACAGAGCTCTTGAAAACCATTGGTAGTTAAGTACATCTAATTCATCTTATTGCAAGTAAAGGTACTGAGTCCTCCTGTTTCAAAACTGCACTGCAGAAAATGCCCAGACAAAAATGGCGATTAGTAAGCCAGTGCAAAACGGCAAGTACATGCTTCAGATTTGTATTTGGCTGATTCGGAGGGACAGTGATTCAATTCGGTCATTCGAATCACTGTCCCGATTCGGCCATAGACTGAACAGGCAGCAGTCCTTGACAACACTGGACACAGCTGCCTCCAGCTTGTAAGTCTGCTGTGGTGGGCAGAGAGGGAAGGGAAATGGTGTGTTGGGGAAGATCAATGCCCCCACAGCGAGGGAGGGCTGGGGGCTGGGGCTGGGGAATGGGAACTTTTCTTGCCCTGGGGGCCTGG